ATCCCAAAAGGAATCATAAGCGCTCGCTCAAGGATATACAGTATCTTACATGAAACCCCAAAGTTTCCCCCTAAAATTACCAAAGGTTTCTAAGTTCCCAATGTCTCGGTAGTACCCTCAAAGTCCATGAGATGCTCCTTTCCTTCTATTTGTAAGGTCGTATTTTAAAATACTTGATGTAGCATCCTTCTTTCGTAGAAGAATATGCCTGAATTCTTGAAAATCCATACGACTCAAGTTGTAACAGAAAATAGTGGGATGATGCCTGAAGTTTCCAAGTGCAGCATAAACGCTGGCTGGGTCGGACCAAGATGTGTTAAATACTGAGTTTTAGTCACTGCATGGAAAAACTGAAGTTAACTGTACACTGTTAAATCAAGTGGGGTAGCAAATTAGTAACTGTACTAATGTGTGTACCTAAAAGCCATGTGCGTATCCTAATTATCCGCAACCTTATTTTGACACCACGAGAATTTCTTCTGGGGTATTTTTAAATCCAGACTTTATGTTTTAAGGGATTTGTCTTGAGTTCCCCTAAACTTGCATCACTACCTTAAATAATGAACAATTCGTCAAAAAGAATCAAGAAAACATAAAGTAGCCTTAGCGAACAATTCATCAAAAATATGCATTTAAATTTACTTTCAGCACTACTTGACATACTAGGGATGGGACTGTAGTCAGAAAAATGGTATTAGAAGGGATTACAGAATGAACAAATTAGATGCCCACTGTACTAAGGAACAAGATTTTTCTGGTACTGTCTCATTCTGAAACAGTAAAATATTTACAGATTCGTCGTCATGTAGCTGCAATCACAATGTAACTGCTTGTGCTTATGTACATGATTTTGGAGTGACTTGGTGCATTCACGTGAATCCTATGATCTACAGGTGGTTTTAAGAGAGAAGGTTATGGGTGTTTTTCGATGAACTGGGACTTGAGAAAATAGTTTAGTAATGAATAACAAAGTTTATGTTACTCATACCTACAACACTTTCCTCTAAATCAATTTTAGTCAGAATTTCAAATTGTTACTTGTGATTAAAAGTTCACGAAAACTTACCGGTTCTGGATGGGTCTATACTTCAGTGATGAGAAAGTAAATCCTATACTGGTCGTCAACAAAGCATACTTCTGCAGTAGTTTGTGAATTATGCATCATTACTTACTGTTAAGTAGGTCGAGGGACAGTGAATACTATTATTAGGTCGTATATGTTAACCATGTTCATAAATGTTATTTAAAATAATAATCAAAAGCCGTGAGAAACCTTTTCAGTAATATGGAGGAGCCAACCTGATGAATGTAGCTTTGAACATTTACATTCCTTTTAAATCCTATGATGAGCTATCAGATTATATGTTTGCATCTTGAAGTATCCATCAGGCATATCCACTCTCTATCTTATGTAACTTCGTCACAGACGTTATTATGAAAGTCCTTTATCTGGTTACCAATGATTTTGGGATCGACATAGACTATGTCGATGACGGACCTATTGGGAAAATTTACTGATAAAATGCCGTCTTCTTAGTGTTCAGTAGTAGTTTTTAAATGTTTGAAGCATTTTTCGCACCTGCAAGATACAAATTATTGTCTCAGGAATAATCTTCGTTGAAACTCAGTCTGGTAGTAGAGTGTGAAATAATTGAGGGCGTCGGCTTCAAATGAGCTATGGGTTTGTAGGTTATGAAGGTACGGACACAAAAGGCTCGATTGGCTTTCGTTCTTAAGGTACCGGTGAGATATCTGAATGCCTAATAGTATTAAGGTGTACATCGCGACACTGCTTTCCCAATCTATCACCATGAGACGTGGTCGTTAAACGTAGTTTTTGAAAGGACTTCAAGTGTTCAATCGCTCATCCTCTTGTTCGTTTCTCAGTTAATAAGAAAATACCATATGAGAAATAGAGGATTGAGACTTTGAGTTGTAGATGAGAAGAGCAAGTTGAGTGTTGTTGTAAACCTTTAATAACTAAGGTGGCTGAAGCGATAACGCAATATCTTCCTTAGGATGCGAACTTTACTGAAGTAGAACCGTGTTAGAAGTAGGAGCTATGGCTCATTGTTTTAGGGAGATGACTTGCAACCAGTGGGTCACTGGTTCTAATACTGCTCCATCTACCGAGATTTGGGCAACCTAGTGGTATCATTAGCCCTCACACAATGGGTGTGGCTTATTGTCTACTGCACGAGCGTTCGCATAGTTGCTGAGTGAATTTCGATTTTAGAGGAAATTTATTTATGGTCAGTTGAAGACATCACAAGTCCTTAAGCTCTCTGACTGTTCATCTGAAATATGTACGAAGATATGGGTATGATTACTGAGACTCAGTAAAGAAAACTGGAGTACATGGTTTAGAGTTCCAGTTGACACAAGTTACCAATATGAGCACTGAACCTTACACAGAAGTGCATCGGTTCAAGATGCTACACGTCAAAGCGGTATGAAAAGAACAAATGGATAGAATACGATTGCTTTCAAAATAAAAAAAGGTGTATGCGACGAGGAGGAATCTGATAATCAAGGTCAGTGAAAATGTATACAATTTGCAAGACTTTAAAGAATGAATACATTTGTACCATTTTGACCGATTTTCAGCCATTTCACCAAGTGTCTTCAACCATTGATTCTAATGTATTCTTAAACCCCAACAAGGCATTTTTCACCTCCATATATGTATCAAACCAACATTCAGCGACTTAATAATAATATTATAATGAGATTCATAATACTTAAACAGGAGCAAGCTGTGTGATCTTTAATTAGTTTGCTTTAAACAATAAAAGTTGTGGACTAGTGCCATATCTTGGTTTGACCAGCCTGGGCCTTCTTCCAGCCAAATCCTAATTCAGCTAGCATGTGGTAGGCGCTGGCTAAGCATACGCATACATGTCAAAGTCACCTCAGTCGATGAAAGTTCACAACCTCATCGATTAACTTCCTTTCCTTGTCGATGCCAATGCATAATCTTTACCTACGCGCCCACTGACTGCAGTTTGGATGATATGAAGGAGGGATTCTATCAAAAGCTATCAGTCACGCTACACAAAACAGAATGTTTAGAAAAAGTCATAATAGCAGGTGACTTTAAGTCCCAGATAAGAAAGCTGAGAAAGTAATATCAAAGTAAGCGAAGTTGTGTTAAAGAATAAACCGTTTGAAGGTGACGGTTGGTGCAAATATTTAAGCTTTAGGAGATATCAAGGAGTTAGAACATTCCGCCATTGTGACAGATTTTCAGACATGTCATCAAGAGTCTTCAACCACTGATTCTTATCATCTGGGGGACCGCAGTCAGGCAGTCTTCATCTCCCCACACGGCTTAAATCAACAGTCAGGGACTTCGACTGAAAGGGATGTAGATAACGGTACTACATCTGTCTTCGAAGTTGTATGAGCTGTTTCAAACCTGAAGCGATGCAAAAAAGCAGGATCTGACGGTTTGTTGGTGGGAGCTTCTAAGGAAGGATGTCAGGAATAGCTGAGTACATTAACTGAGGTATTAGATAGTGTATGGGAATCAGATGTAGTCTGTTAGACCGGTCTACTTCACCGATCATTCCTGTCTGTAAGATCAGAGAGAATTCTTGTGACAGCAATAGGGGAACCAGTCTGACTGACACCGTGTCCAACACCTAACTGTAACTCGAAAGATATCAGACAGGTTCCAGACTTGAATGAGGGTGTATCATTCAGATTTTCACTCACCGGTAAGTATGTGTGTGTTCCAGGTTCTACGTTGATTTTGTGTGTATATTTTAATTTTTTCTGCTTGGGATGTAAACACACTTGTCGGGAATTTTCGACTGTTGATCTGGGCCATGTTAGAAATAATCAACTGTTTGACTTTGGTCTACAAGACAATGAGGATCAATAGTTGAAACATTTAGTGACGTGGCTGGAAATGCACAACAGTTATTTACATGTATACACTCTTTAGAATTGTGGATATTTGCATTGACCTTTTTCTGTTTATTTGCTCTCATCTCATACTCTTTTGTCTACGTTAGTTTTCTTCCTTTTCTATCCACTTCTTGATTTGTTACTGTCAAGTGTAGCTGTTTGAAGTGAGGCACTTCTGTGATATGGCCTACGTTATTTATCTACATATTTTGAAAGATTCAGTGCACCTCTCTCAATGTTAATCTTAAGATGATGTTGTACGATTGGTTTGCACTGAAATGTAATTTGGTGTGTGTATAAATATGTTAAAAACCTAACTGATTCAAGAATCATGGGTTAATATGACGTACTGACTGACAGAAAATTTGTATGGATACGAGCCTTAACTGATATATGTTAACCCACTTCATTTTTTGCCTTGGAAAGATATTTGATTGTCTGCCTAAAGCGGAGTATACTAAGTCACTGCCTATTATAACGAGCAGTATCATTTGGTGTGTTGAGATAAAGCCAATCTAAGGGTGACTGAAGATGTTACATTCTTGTTTGAAGCATTTCAATTCTGATTTGGACAATTGCAGTTGAGGTTTACAAAAGATCCTAGGAATCAATGATTAGAAACTCCCTGATGCGCCCCCACCCTGTTCATTGTGATACAGATTTTACTCACCACTTGTCATCCTCACAAATGGAGACATGTACATTCCTTTGTTTCTTCACCTATCACATTTGTGGCGATTTGATTCACTACGATTTTGTAATATTTCTTTACAGTGGTTTGTTCTATCTATATATCATTCAGTCATGTTGTAAGGGAAATACTCATGTGGATAAAGCTTTAATTAGTGTTGTGAAAAACCCGAGGTATTGTTAGTTGTTCTCGGGATTGGTGGTTTTTCATAACAGTTAAGTTGACGAATGTTTCAAGATGTAGACGTTAATCCGTAAGAATCATTTCAATCGTTTATTTTGCGCAAATCATACTTCATCTTTTTTCATGTATTTATCATTAAGCTCCTTTTCTTTTTGTGTCCAAATAGTGAACACTTTACTTCATCGTCGTTAAAGTTTCTATCTCTATTCAACGAATGATGAAGGCGAATGGTGGGTTTATTGTAGCTGAAGAGGAGCGTGTGGCTCAACAAATATCGTTAGGCAGAACTGGAGATTCTAATGGTCACACAACTCCGCAAACCGCTACTAGTTTACCTAGTCGAATTGAATTTGTTCGTCCCATCTATCATCAGATTTCAGATTTTTGTTATGATTTTGATCCAGGTATGTACATATTATCAAGTATGATAAAGTGAGCGACGAATAACATAGAGTAACCGTATTAGTTCTATATTATATTTCATTTGGATTCATCCGTTAGATATATAATTCGGTCCACTCAGTGAAAATATCGTTTTATAATGGAAACCTACATACATAAAACCTGCATATTGGAAATGTGTGAAAGACATGCAGCTGTTTCGTCTCAGTGTGGGACTCTTACAACATTGCGCACCCATGACCCCTCCAGGGATCGAACCCAGGACCTTCAGGTTCCATGGCCAGCACGTAACCAATGAACCACAAGATCGACACCCAATGGTCCACATTTTCTACTTCTGTTAGTTCATGATACAGCGTGACCATCTAATGCCTTTTGTTGAGTAACTGTCCTCACAATCGACTTAGTTAGCGCCACAGGTCACTTCTCATTAGAACTTCGGGAATCCCGAGGCGAGTCACTAATGAGCGTTGGACATGAATTCATTTTGGAAGTTTGTAGGGATTTATTTATTGATTTCATGTTGATATTCATCATGGACTGACATCAGTTGGCGGAACACTGGAAATCCGGGAGCACTGGCTAGCTGTTCACTCTGGTATTGGACTCCTCAACGGTATACACTAATGACCCTCCCTTTATTGTCATTTTCTGACAGTGATAAAGTTTCACTTTTCGAGATTGACACGTTTATCATATATTTTGTATCAAAATGGGTATGATGTCGGTATCAAAAAATACAACCCCGCAGTCTCGCACATACTTGCGGACTAAGCTATAGCCCATACATGTTATTGGAGTTAATCATATCTGATATGTCCAAATTCTGATGGGTGGAATTAGCACCATCTTAGTTACTGGTTGAGTACATAGACCACTGTACTACTTCACTGAAAAATAGATAAAGTTATCATGACAACATTCATCACAGCATTCCACTCAAGGATATGAGTGTATTTGTGAACGCCATCAAAACCGACTAGTAGGGTTGAGGAATCAAATCTGAACTATTTACACATGGGCTAATAATTTTAATCGTTTTTAGCCGATATTATTAGTGTTGAAACTGAGTGTACTGAATTGGGTTAAGGGTAAGCTTAATCTCTAAAACTATCCAAATCTAATGAGCTGACTTCGACAAACTAATACGCCATGAATAGGATGACTAATTCGCAAGTTACACAGTCTGGAAATTTTTTATGGTTAAGTCGCTTCATTTGATTTTGTGAGATATGTTATCAGTAGCATGTTTTTTGGAGACTATCTAGTACATGTGTCGTAAATCGATAAAGTATAATTCAGATGAATGACTACCATTCATTTACTGGTTTCTCAGGCAGGTCAAAGTTATATAGATGTACTCAACTATTATCATAGGTGAATTGTACATGATGAATGCCGATATGAACCGTGTAACATATGAATAAGTTATGAGTTGTTCATTCATTTGATTACTGAAAGTATTCTGTCAACGGCACATAATATTCAACTCTGGTTAACCTTAGAGAAAATCTGTAAAAAATAGCTGTCGAAAAATATGACGCAACCAGCACTAACAGTGTGATTACGACACTATATGAATCACAAACGACAAAGTAGAATGTAAGGATCCCTAGACACAGTAATAGACATATTTGGAAACAGAATGATTAAGTATTGAATACAAGATAAGTGACTACATGAAATCGAGGTTCGAAAATAAAGGGTGAAATTGCCAATCTTTCTCTAAATACTTCCTTCTTTACAGAATCAGGTAGACCTTCATCTTCTCTGTATGTAGTCTTCCCTGTAATCTGTTCATGGTCATTGTAATTGTTTCGTAAATACCAGGAATCTGAAGTTGTAGTGCATATTCTATAATGAACAACTAGTAGTGAAGATATTTTGATCACTTTGTATTAAAACTTATTAAGTTGTCGATGCGTACAAACCGTGTAGTTTATATTTTGAAAATATTTTAGACGGTATCCTTCGTCAACTGCAAACAGGAGAAACACTTTCAATAAAAATGACTTCAACTGGTCCTTCATTAAAACGACAAGAAGTAATTCGTGCAGTAAGTCTACTACGCTTAAGCCTTTTAGAACTTTGTTAATGATTTTAATTACTTATAATTTCTCACGTTTTTCATGTATACACAGTTTCAAATATCAGCATTCAGTAACTCTATTGGTCAAAAATACTTGGAGAAAAGGAATATTCCTATTTAGCAGATTTAAGCACATGACTTCTTATTAATTTGTATATGTTTCTGTCTTCAAACTGGAAATATGTAAGAACTTGGTTTCATGTACACCACTTATATTTGCCATTATTAGGACTGTGTAGACTGTTCTGATGTAAAACGTGTTGTTGCAGCAATTAGATCCCGAACTTACACTGACCAAATCAGCTTTCCAACAGTATATTTATCCTTTTTCGGTAGTTATCTAGGTATCTGTAAATCAGTTGTGGATTCCTTATTGAATGTCATCAAAATTTCACTATGTCCGTAACTTGTTCTGCATTCTTTCATTCGCTTTACCAGAATAATTTCTGAAATTTGAAACTTATTGGTCGTTAAAAGTCTAAGTAAAGCTAGAGAATAGCAGACCTGAAAAGAATCAAGCATGTATCAGGTCGGTGGTCTTCCATGTGTTGACGAAATTTTCAAATTCTCCTATATCTTGAAATGAATACATGCTGATGACAACACTAGCTGTATTTCTTGATTTGCAAACAGCATTGAGCCTTGTCGATTGGTTGGTTTTAAAGTAAAACATCTAGGCAGAGGTATGTGATGTCCATTTCACCTTACTAAAGGTTCAGTATTCGGACACTTACATTCTTTTTTATTCACACTGAACAGTTCCAAATCTATGAGAATAGGTGAAATACAAAAGCCCATGTAAATCATAACGTAAGATTATTTCAATGTTGAAGCATTCAGCATTATGGGCGCATCCAGATCAAATCACATGGATATAGGCCTTGCCTCATGTTGAAGAGTAATTAGTCCAGTGTAAATCATGGGATGAAAGCAATATGAACAGAATAATCCCAATATAAGGAGGCAAAATCTAAACATAATGATTCCAATGATGTGGAAATTACCATTTGCACAATTTTATAAAAACAAATGTCCAAATGTGAATTTTCGCATTTCTGAAATCTGCTGAGCACTGAGTTGAGTTAAATATCTTCAACGAATATCTGAATTACAGCAAAAGGTTGATTCAGTGAAGCGAGGACTTCGATGGAACTTCACTGATAAATACCTATTTATATTGAGTGATGATTGAGAGTGAAATTAATATCTGAGTCACTGCAGGATTAGAACCAGCGAATTCTGCTCTACAAACTGAGCTACGAGACCGAGCTGCTGACCGCATTTTTATTTCACTTCAATCAAGCATTGACTTTCAAGCGTTAGTGGTCTTTTGGCCTTGGTTGATTATGCAAACTATTACCAGTGGTCACTTTCAACCCTTACGTAACACTTCATATTTGTTATTCTTTACGTCGTCGTTGTATTCACACGAGTTTTCACTCCACTTGAATATAACTCGTCGCTACATAGTGATTATTTCAGCCTTATTAAACAAACATCATCATCATTATCAACATGGTACCAGGCATTACTGCGTAGCTGTCCGAGTTGCCACATACACACATTCATACCCAGACAGATGTATATAAATGAATGATTGTTGAAGTTCCATCGAAGTCCTCGCTTCACTGAATCAACCTTTTGCTGTAATTCAGATATTCGTTGAAGATATTTAACTCAACTCAGTGCTCAGCAGATTTCAGAAATGCGAAAATTCACATTTGGACATTTGTTTTATAAAATTGTGCAAATGGTAATTTCCACATCATTGGAATCATTATGTTTAGATTTTGCCTCCTTATATTGGGATTATTCTGTTCATATTGCTTTCATCCCATGATTTACACTGGACTAATTACTCTTCAACATGAGGCAAGGCCTATATCCATGTGATTTGATCTGGATGCGCCCATAATGCTGAATGCTTCAACATTGAAATAATCTTACGTTATGATTTACATGGGCTTTTGTATTTCACCTATTCTCATGGGTTCTGAACTGCAAGGCCTAAATAGGAAGTTATTGAAGACGATTTTTCACTAAGGTTATTTTTTTACGGAATTATCTCTTGCAATCATACGTTCATGTTGCAGCGTATGATGTGCTATTGTGTTATATTTTCATGTTCTAATATCTATGCAG